AATGTCACTGACAGCCGTCTTAACGTCCCAGGGGCAACTCCCATGGCTATGGTAGAGTTGGTACTTAGTGCTCACCATGGTTCTGGCATGCACTCCCCTCAGCATGGTGGCGTGGGTATACCGTTCCCCATAGCGACCCCTAGAGGACACAGTTCGAAGTTCCCATGAAAGGGAACGTCTCAGGTTACTTATGTAACCATGGTTCCCTGAGCAGGGAACGAGACACTGCGTCCTCTAGGTTTCTTGCCATGCTGCGGACGCAAGCTTCAGACGAAGAAGTGAATGATGTATGCTCCCGGCGCCTATTTATACTATAGTCGCACCGGTAGTGACGTCAACTAGTTGGTGTTTTTTCAATGTATGCTTCAGACATGGGTCACTACGAGGCGTTCCCCATAGCGACCCCTAGAGGACGCAGTGTCTTGTTCCCTACTCAGGGAACCATGGTTACATAAGTAACCTGAGACGTTTTGCTACAAATAAAACCAAAAAACTATGGTTACTATAGTTAAACCATGGTAACCACAAATTAACCATGGTTTTTGCTACACTAACCATAGATTAACCATGGTATTTATAGTAAAACTGTGGTTATACAAATGGTAATCAATACTCCAAAAAACATTTTACTAAAACAACTTTTACTATAATAAAATCATGGTTAATTTTTGTAAGGGTATTGATATACTGTTTGATGAATCATGATCCAATGAAGCCCAAGTGCCACTTATAGTCTATGTATATCTATAGTTCAATTTAACTATAGTCCGTAGTTGTAGTGATTGATGCCCCTTCTTTTACATTGGAGCCCCTGAGGAACTCTCTGCACGTCCCTGCAGCACAGCTGTATTTGGATTCTTGGCGAGAGGCCGTACAATCGCAGACATTCTGATATTCAGACTAACACGTGTTTCACACATGATCTGTTTGCAGTATGCATGCAGTACTTTTTTTCAGTGCCCATGTTCACAGGTTACAGCATTCACTCTGCACACGGATGCAGTCCAGCAATGTGCTGCAGGAGCTTTTCACCTCTGTGTGTTCTGGACAGGCTGTCAGTCTGTGTGTTAGTGGTGGTTACTTCAGTTCAGGCTACATTGTTACGCTAGAAGGTGGCAGCAAGCGTTTATGAGTGAGTCAGTAAACCATTAATCCAACCAGTTTACTCAGAAATGCTGATTCAAGAAAGAAACAAAGTGTTGAAATTATTTGAACTTTGAACAAAATCTTATATGGCTCAAAGAATGTGTAACGCGGCTCAGGGGTAACGCTGACGATCAATTTATTGGCCAGCACTGAAAACTATCATGTGAAATTACTTTCTTTAGCAGACAACTGGCAAACTGTTCTTCATGCATATGTGACTGGAGCTGAAGAATGAAAGCTCTAACAGACTCAGGTAACCGTCTGATCCATCGCTCCGTGCTCTAACATTATGTTTTTGCATTAGTACCTGAGACATACACACTTATAAAAACTATTTTCCTCTTTCAGGCTGTACTGATGTAGAGCTATACTTGCTTGGTAGAAATCTGTGGGTCCCTTGGAGGGATTGTTGTGGTCCCCCATTAGCATCAATGACGTTTAAAGTTTAGTGTAAAGTTTAGTGACTTGCCACCACCTACTGGTGGTTTTAGTTTCATATTTAAAACGTTTTTATCGTATTTCTGTACTCAAAAGTTTATATTTAAAACATGCATTTCATACCATTATTTATGCAGTTGTAATTGCAGTGCAAATGCATTCATATCAGATCTGAGGCGCATTAAACATGTTGTGAAAATACATCTAATGCCACTTCAGATGCAGTTTCTGTGCCACTTATGCAGTGCAAAAGGTTTTGGCACTTGCTATGTAAAAACACACACACACACACACACACACTGACACATACATATACACATACACATATATCATGGACATGATTCAAAAAGGTATTGGATTGCATAAACTTGTTTAGATACGCTAATTATGTCTCTATTTGTTTCTCTGTTTCTGCTGGGATTGACATCCCGTGGTAACTAGGATTTACACAATGGAGAACCAAACGTGCAGAAATAAAAAATGAATAAATGAATGAATGAATGAGTGAATAAATAAACATTTTAATTAATAAATAGATAGATAAATAAATGTGATAATACGATAATAAATAAATGAATAAACGACTTGATAAAATAAATATGATTCATTTTTAATAACATTCTTTTTTTATTATTATTTTCCCCCTTAATTTATGATTTTCTGCTTTTCTTTTTAATTTATTTTATTTTTTCTTTTATTTATTTTCCCATTTATTTTATATTTATTTATTTATGGATTCATTTATTTTTATATTTATTTATTCCAATATGTATTTATTTCCAGATTTATTTATTTTTTACCTTTATTTATTTCAACATTTGTTTTATTTATTTTCATACTTATTCTTACATTTCTTTGTCATGTATGATAATTAGGTGGGTTGGTCTTGCTTACCATTGGTTCATCGCTGATTGAAGCGCTTGCGCTTTGTAGTGACGTCGGGTGGTGACGGTTGTAGCGCTCGCGTGTGTATTCTATGGCGGACGGTTCACAAATAGTTAGAGAGTTGCGCAACTTAGCGAATGAAGTCGATAACAACGCATCAAATGATTATGTGTTGTTTAGATTAGATGTGCTTATCGATGTTTTAGAAGAGCTATTTGCCGATATGGATGTCGAAGTACAGCCTGAAGTTTTAGGCTATTCCCAGCACATTCAATCTCTGTGCGAGTCAGATTGTACTACGATGGGACGTCCATTGTACTTGCTTCCGATAAGCACAATTTAAACTTACCTCTCAATGGGTCAAACTGCTGGAAACATTGCAAAGTTGTTTGGTGTCAGTGAAAGAACTATCCGGAATAGGATGGAGCAACATGGTTTAAGGTAAGCAGCAGCTCCTAGTAGCCTAGCCTTATAACCTACGTAGCTTTCACATTAGTGTTTATATTTGTGTTGTGTGGCTGATAATGGGTTTATTTTATTCTCATAGAGTAAGCGACCTGTTTTCAGCTCTGGAGGACGCTGAACTGGATGCTTTGGTAGAAGATGTACTAAAGCTCACCCAAATGCCGGATATAAACTGATGGTTGGACAAATCGGTGCACAGGGCTTCGAGTACAGAGGAAGGCGGGTTTTGTACTTTGACATATTAGCATCCCTGGGTAAAAAGCATGTAAAATAGAAATAGACAATTACGTTTTTTTTATATATATATACAATACAATTATTTATACAATACAAATTTTTTTTTTTACCTGTGCATTACTGTGAAGCTCCTTTGAAATGGTGTCAGTGTTGCAGAGTTCATTATTACAGGATTTTAAGCTAGTAAAACATCTCAGAAGTGTCCTTATTGAGCTCAGTTGATTTCAAGTTTTTGTATTCACGTCTGATAGTGTCAGTACAGTAATATTTTTGAATATTGTCTTTTAGGTCCCCACTGAGCATGCCAAAGGTGAACTCAAAGACTGGAATGTTTACTATGCATATTGATGAATTTACTTTTTGTAGGGCGACGTGTTCAAGAATCCATGAGACGCGTGGATCCTCAGGGTGTCCTTATGTGTCTTCAACTGAACCCCCGGAGGCGTAGAAAATACACAGTCCCTGCACCCAACAGTTTATGGCACATCAATGGTAACCATAAGTTAATAAGGTATGTTGACAACAGTAGAATATTATTTATCATGTTCATCTGGATGTGTTTTCTATTTCAGACTGAATAGGAAATGGTTGTACAGTTGAACAAAAGAAAATTAAAGCATGAATGTGTAATAGGAGGGATGTGTGTTCATAGTTTAATTCAATGCAGATCAAGATCACTTTATCACAGTGATTCTCAGCATTTAAATTTCATAACTTACCATGTAGACCGCAAGTGTGAATTTGTTGGGGTAAGTTTGGAAGAACTTTGTGATAAGATGGCAATCAGACCTGTCCTCTCCAGCCAAAATCCTCAATACACTGTTCTAAAATGTATAGCTGAATGTTGTTTTTCACAAGAAGGATCTTTCTCGTGAACCTAAATTTCCAACTGTTATGAAATATTAATATTCATCCAGCAAGATCATATAATAAGTAATTGGATAATGTCATGTGATGCCATTGTGTGTGTGTGTGTGTGTGTGTGTGAGGCTAAGGAACTGAGGAACGTGCTTGGATGAGTGGTGAAACATTAATCAGCAGAGAAACATCCATTTGACTATTTTGAGAATTTTGATAGACATTGTTGGTGTAATTATACGAGCAGATCTTTCTGATTGTGTTGTTAAAGGTCCAGTAGGGATTTCTGAGAAAGACTGTTGATATTTGAAATCACCGAAGCAAATGTCCCTACCTAAAAGGATAACACCCCTATTTTGATAGCTCTGCCTCCAAATTCGTGAAGACCCCTATGTTATGCGACACAGGCACCTCTCCCATCATGAGAGAAGAGTGAGAAGCAGATTCTCTCCTTCAACATCTCTGAACCAACTGACGATGTTCACCTGGAGACTATTCAAACGTTCAGTTAATCTAGTCTAATGTTATAATCTTTATTAAATCAAATTTTGGTAAAACATCTTAATAAAGAAATATTGTCTATTTCACAGGTGTTCATATTATTTTGTCCAACCCCTGTATGTAAAAGGTATCGTCTTAAGTATGTGATATAATGTTTTGGCTGTTTTGATTTACTATAGAAAGTAGAACGTGTTTTATATCATTACTCAAAAGCCTAGTTGTTAATATTGTTGAAATTAATTTTCTTATATCTGTTCCGGGTGGCGTATTGTGGTTCATGGTGGCATTGATGGCTTTAGCCGTCTAATTGTATATTTGAACGCTGCCACCAATAATAAAGCTGCTACAGTCCTGACAAGCTTTTTAGAAGGTGTCAACCTGTATGGTGTGAGGTCAGATAAAGGTGGGGAGTGTCATGGTTTCCACCAGAGGAGAGAACAGAAACTCACACATCACAGGGAAGAGTGTCCACAGTCAGAGGTATAATCAAACATATACAATGCCTTACTAAGTTTTCAGGCCCCTTGAAAATTGTTTTGTTTTACAGAAATGCAAACAATTACCAAGATATGCATGGTTTCTAGATAAATAAAAGACTACTATGATAGTTAGAAAATTAGTCTGTAATGAATGGAAAACTAAATCCCCACGTCTTTAAAATAGATTTTACTTTTTAATTCCCATTTTAGGCTATGGAAGCTCCACTTCATATACAACATTATGAATGTTGGTCCTTGAAGGTCCTAGTTTAAAAGTCTTTGTATTTTGGCTTCCTTTACTGTTAGGATTAATTCCCATTTTAGGCTATGGAAGCTCCACTTCATATACAACATTATGAATGTTGGTCCTTGAAGGTCCTAGTTTAAAAGTCTTTGTATTTTGGCTTCCTTTACTGTTAGGATTGAAAGGTTGTGGAGAGATGTTTATGCTGGAGTGCTTGATCTCTTCTACACAATCTTCACCAACCTTGAGAATGACGGGCTTCTGAATCCAGATGATGAAGTGCATCTCTATGCCCTCCAGCGGTGTTTCTTGCCACATGTACAGAAACACCTTCAGTACTTTCAGGATGGCTGGAACCACTACAAGTTGCGGACAGAAGGAGACCAGTCACCAATACAGCTCTGGTTAAGTCATCAACTTCAAGACCCTATCCAGGTATTTATATCAGAGCTGGTTAGCAATTATGACACATGAATTAGGATGGCTAGATTAGAAATTAGATGATAGATTAAAAATAGCAGATATAGATTAAATATATTAGATAGATAGACAGGTAGGTGTAGAAATATTAGATAGATTGGAAATTGTGCCATCTTAAATGAGTCCAATTGGCTTTGGTGTGATTAAATTGAGTTTTTAGTCTTGGCTCATCAGAAGATTCTGTCCATATAAGTCTATGGGATTTTTCTGCATTTTGGCCAAATTAGGAAAACCATAAGTTAGATCAGTTAGACACGATATAGCAACCCGAGTCAGAACAGTCTGAGCTGAGTTTGGTGGATGTAGAGTTAAAGCTGTAGGAGGAGTCAGAAAATTTTGTATCAGAAGAAGTTTAAATAGCATTTCAGTAGGTTTGCTTTCTCAAGCCAACGTAACTACTGTATAAATTGTACTATTTGGTGCTTAATGAGCTCTGGCAGTAGGACAGATGTTTGTTTAATTTATTAATAATAATTTAATTATCAATTGTCTATTACAGGTAGATGCCATGCAATATGGCATTGACTGGAGAGGGCCATGTGGTCATCATGAACCTGGTGTGGTGATCCCTGAAGTACAAATACAACACCAACTTACACAGGAGGATGTTGAAAGATTCCCAGACCCAGATGTCCCCCTTTCTAATGTGTTGGAGGTGTACAGAGAGACTGTAATGTTATTATATGAAATGCTTCAGTAGCAAGACTACACAACTTCAAAGAGTGAGCATCAGCAAGTTTTGCTTATGTTGAAAACAATTATATACATGCCTGTTTTGACCTATTATCAACATTGTTTAAATATTTGATCCACTAGTTCTTTTCGCAGTCATTTATTAATGTTAATGCTATAAAAACCCATAAAAATATATAATCTGTAAAGAACCATGCATGGTCAACTGAATTTTTTAATTGAATTTGTGTAATGATGGCTTTGAACAGTCCTGTACCAAAGTCAATAAATGTTTAAAATAACTTTTTGACCAAAGCTTAGTTTGGTGTAACTTTGACAACAAGGTTCTGAATACATGTCAAAATTGCTTACAAAATTCACAGGCTGGCTTTCCAGGAAGAAAAAAGTGGGGCATTTTGACATTTAGTGCCAGTTAATAATAACTCTTGCATCCAGTGAATGTCCTTAGTTGCTCAAACTACTTCCAAACCATTTAATAAAGCTAAAATATCTAGAACAGTATCTTTTTAGTACATCCAAGCAAATAAATTCTTACATTTCTTATCAAATGTTATTTTGGCATCGCCTTGTCAAATACAAAGCTCTGAACACTGCAACATACCAAACAGGTTTGAGATCTTCTGACTGAATATCCGATTTAGACATGAAAAATGTAGAAAAATTAAACACTAACTCCAGTAGAAATATGGCATCTGATATTATTTGTAACACAAACTTAGACCATTCCAAATCCATAATCTGAGCTCCAAATAGCAGCTAAAATATCTCTCTCAAAGGCAGCATAGTCCTTGTAATGACTAGGAAGCTTGAGAGTTTGATAGCATGTGGAAGACTTGGGTAGGTTTCCATCCACCACCTCAACGTCTAGGCTCCTGGGCAGCACATCCCATCCAGTCCAGAATTTTATTAGAAACCACAAGATATTATAAGAAACTGCATAAAAAAAAAAAAAAAGTGCACATCAGGAAACTAAGATAATTTTACAAATCCAGATCATGACCCTTTTTTATTTTTTTATTGTAGAATCTACAGCAAAAAGTCAGTTAATTTCTCATATACTTACAATTTCCGATGAAGGTGCGAAGGAATCCGGTGAGCCTACATGTGTCTTCAAGAGAGGCCTCACTGTCTTCATCATGTGTTGGCCAAATTATCCTCTCTAAATTCATCTGACACATTGACAACATTATCATTACTAAAGAATTGTAGAGCTCAATATTACATAAATGGTCCATATCTTACTAGTGGGGTGTACACTGTATCACAAGTCCTAGGAAAGAGAAGAGGAATAGTGTCTTTCCTCAGAAAGCAAAGGCCAGATCAATGTTTCACTGTTTGGATTTTAATAGGCAAATACTTAAAAGTCAATATTGTATTGACAATGCAAGAGGTGAGCACTCTGTAAAGTCTCCAGCACATCCAAAAGACTTTTACTGAGGTTAATGTCAGGACTCATGTGCCAATTCATGTGTGAAAATGATTCCTAATGGTCCATTCCAGCCATTCTTTCACAACTTGAGCCTAATCAATCTTGACACTATCAAGCTGAGATAGCGGCACCTTGTGTTTCCAGATATTTTTAGCAACTCAAACCCACCACCTTGTCTGAGTTTTGGAAAAGCCTCCACGATGACATCCTTACATTTTTGGGGATCTGCATGGCATCCTTTACGAATAATAATAACCAAAAGATAAAATGTAAGATACTAGGACAAATCTGACAGTTATCACTTATCTTTGACTTTCAGTTCAGTACAGTTTTGAAAGCTCCGGACAACTTTTGTTAAAATTTTAGTTAAATGACTACTGACAGGCCTTACTATTTTTCAGTTTTGGGTCACCACTGAGTTCCATAGTATTTTGTCGTACTATGGAAGTCAATGGTGCCCCAAACCTGTTTGCTGACACGCATTATTTGGATTATTTTTTTGTGTTTAGCAGAACAAAGAAGTTTATACAGGTTTTTAAAAATTTGAGGGCGAGTAAATAACAGAATTAAAATTTTTTGGCTGAACTATCCCTTTAACAGTACAGACGATACATAAGAATTAATAATCCAAATGTGTTCACGAAAACCTCACTTTTAAACAAAACTCTAACATTCCAATAAGCTGCTTTTTACATACCTCGGAAGGTGACACGTTTCTCCCCTAACCCAGCAGAGAACAATCTGTCTTTTGCACAGCGACTGGGTACTAAATCTGCATTTTTGTCATCAAGACAGCAGAAGTTATGCGTAAAGCTGCAGGATACTGCACGACTCATCACAGGCAAGCTTGTTCGTCTTGCAAGTCCTCTTCCTCTGTTGTAAGGCGTAAATAGTCTTGCAACTTCAGCTAGAAAGTAAGAAAAGTAAACACACCAGTCATCGTTTTAGAAGTGATAAGGACAATAGTAACTGAATTGCAATACCATTTTTTCCTGACCTTTGTCAAATTGACAAGTTTAATAAAACTATTTCTTTCTTTTAGAACTTTGGCCAAAAAAAAGCAAAAACACTACTGAACAATAACCACTAATTTCTATAATATTTTATTCGACATTTTCTTCATGACAATTTTATGATTTAAGTACTACAAACACTTGTGCATTAAACGTTTAATTTGCAGGTATGTAACAGAACTCATTTACAGAAGTTCATTCTTTATACCCTCATCAATCAGTTCCCGTTTTTTTTGTTTTTTAACCCAGTTGACAATCATGGGAAGAAGAACCGAAAAATACAGGGCCGCGTTTCCCAAAAGCGCCGTGGGCCTAGGGTAGGGAAACGCGACCTTGGATTGCTCCGATTTTCATAGAAGCCATTGGTGGTTAAGAAACGCAACCATTTCAGTTATTTAGAGTCAAGACTTTTTCCGTGATTACAGAATAATTATTAGACTAGAAACCAACCATCCACTGGGTGTCTGACTCTGGGTGTCATCACCCTAGGCTCTGACGTCGACGGTTCCAGACTCGATGACGACGATGCTGTGGTGGGGATCACATAAGTAGCTTCAGCTTCGTGTTTTTATTTCTGGAAAATAGTTTAAATATTTCGACATTACTGCGAATAACGTTAGGTGAAAATAACTTACAACTCTCCAGCTGATCTGCCACATCCCGTAGCAAACTGGACAACGAATTACTGCTTGCCGCCATTTTCTTTGAAAACTCAAATCTCTATCGCTTAGCTGGCCTGAGATTCTACGCGTGAGCTCTCAACCAATGATGCACTGAAGCTACACACGGAAAAGTAAAAATAAATGAATCAATAAATAAATAAATCTAAAAATAAATACATAAAAAAATCTAAAATTAAATACATGTGGGAATAAATCATTCTAAAAAAAAAAAAAAAAATCATAAATATATAAATAAATGTAAAAATAATATAAAAATATAAAAATACATTAAAAAAGAATGAGTGAAAAAATAAAAGTAATTAAAAAAAAAAGAAATGTATAAATGTATACAAGCAGAAAATAATACATTAAGGGGGAAAATAATAAAAAAATGAATTTTATTAAAAATGAATCATATTTATTTTATCAAGTCGTTTATTCATTTATTATCCCATTATCACATTTATTTATCTATTTATCTATTTATTCATTAATATATTTATTCATTCATTCATTTATTCATTTATTTATTTTGTCCTATTATTTATTGGTATTGTAAAAAAAAAAGATTACCAAAGTAAAGTAAAATTATACATGCGGCCATGCATGCATACAAATTTGCTTACTTAGACGTCACTTTATATTAAATATTTATTTATCATTC